AGCCCCAGGTTAAACCTCTCTCCGGGTTGACAGGCTATGGTCAAACACCGTTAGCATGTTTAGGCAAATGCTATGTGTCAGTGTGTTTGAATGGGGAAACTAGGAAATTACCAGTGGCAGTAATAGAAAAAGATGACATTCCATTGTTTGGACTTCCGTGGATGGTATCATTTGGAATGAAACTTCCACCTGAAGTTAGTGTAAAATCAAACAATGTAACAAATGATGATGTGAATATTACGGAAGAGGAAGCCCAATCATTGGTGAAGGAATTTGATAGTGTTTTCTCTGATGGATTGGGTAAAATTGAAGGAGTAAAGGCTAGAATACATGTCAAGAAGGATTTTCCACCAATTGCACTGAAAGCCAGAAGAGTACCCTTTCCTTTGAAAAATTCCGTAGAGAATGAGCTGAACCGACTAGTGGAGTGCGGAGTCTTAGAGAAGGTTGATCCAAGTGAAACAGCAATAGTCTGGTCAACGCCTACTGTAAATGTCAACAAAGGAGGTGGTAGGGTTAGGATTTGTGGAGACTTCAGGGTTACCGTGAACAAGGCGATTGTGCCTGAAGCTTATCAGATGCCTACTTTTGCTGATTTGACAAACAAAATTGCTGGAGGTCGATTATTTACTGTAATTGATTTGAAAGATGCATTTTCTAAATGGCCAGAGATATCAATGGTTAGATCTATTACGGCTGCCAGTACAGTGAACAAGTTACGGGAATGGTTTTCTCGCCATGGAGTTCCTAAAATGATAGTCACTGACAATGGGACACAGTTTACGTCAGAGCTATTTGAGAAGTTTTGCAAGGATAACGCGATAAAACATGTCTGCAGTACACCATATCATCCGAAGACGAATGGCCAAGTTGAACGGTTCATCAAAACATTCAAGTCAAGATATTTGTCCAGCAAAGGTGACAGGCAAGATCAAACACAAAGGTTGGTGAAGCTATTGTTTGCCTACAGAAACACACCACAAAAATCTACGAGCAAGCCTCCATCTGAACTGTTCTTCGGCAAAAGACTTCGATCTCCATTGGACAATTTGAAGCCTACGGTGAAAGACGTGATAGCAGAATCAGTTTTTAAACAAAAGGAGTATCACGATGGCAAAAGTAGACATAGGGAATTTTCTGAGGGGGAAGAAGTCTGGGTGCAGAGAGAAATAGGTGCCGGCTGGAATCCAGGAGTGATTGCATCAAGAACTGGTGAGCTATCATACCAAGTCAGGGTTGGTGGACTTCTGAAGCGAAAACACGCAGACCAGCTACGTAAGAGAAGCGGAGCTTTATCTGAAGGGGGAGAAGTGTGATATTGGATCATATGTATAATATTCTATTCTATATTGTCTTGTTAAAAGCATATGGTTTATGTTTTGGTTATGATGTTTGTTTTTAGTGTTGAGATGGCAATAAGATAAAATTGTTCTTTCTTTTACTAGTTTGTTTTATTCTTTTGTGAATATACTACAGGTCCTCTCTTTAAGTACAAGTAATCCATTCAATTCCTTATTGGCACAATTTCCTGATTTATTAAGACCTAGTCCTACAAACAAATTTTTTTTTAAATATTAAGTTGAACATTATATTGAAACTACAGGAACTCCAGTTAAAGCCCTACCCCGTTGTTTACCTTTGGATGAACTCCAAGCTACATAACATGAATTTCAGTTCAAGTCGCAAGAAGGACTATGTCGACCTTCTAGCAGTTGCTGGGCGAGTCCTCTTCATCTTGTTCAAAAGAAAAATGGAGACTGAAAACCATGTGGCGATTACAGAAAACTAATTCAAGCTACAATTCCTGATGAGTATCCTTAGCCATTTCTAACCGATTGCACAAATTTTTTACATGGCACAAACATATTTTCCAGAATTGACTTAGTCTGAGCTTATCAACAGATACCTGTCTGCCAAGAAGATATTGAAAAAACTGTATCACCACTCCATTTGGATTATTTGAGTTCCTGTATATGACATTTGGCTTACGAAATGCCGCTCAAACGTTCCAAAGGTTCATTAATCAAGTACTATTAGGTTTAGATTTTGTATTTTTTTACCTTGATGACGTTTTAATTGCATCAAAGGATGAACCAGATCACATAATTCACCTTATGGCACTTTTCAAAAGACTTGATCACTACGGTGTATGTATCAATGTTGAAAAATGTATTTTTGGCGCCAAGTCATTGGAATTTCTAGGCCATGAAGTCAGTATTGGCGGTCTAAAACCACTCCAAGCAAAAGTAAAATCAATAGTATATTTTTCTGCCTCCACTTCAGCATCTGCATTAAGATTTTTAGGCATGGTCTTCAACTGTTACAACCGTTTCATCCCACGATGTGCTCAACTACAAAAACCATTGAATCATATATTAAATAGCCACAAGAAGAACAGCTCAAACCCTTTAGCTTGGTGTGAGGAGGCTCCAAAGAGTGTTGATAATTTAAAAGATGCCTTATGCAAATCAACAATGTTGGCTCAACCTGATCCAAATGCCAATTTGACATTAACAACCGATGCCTCTGATGCCTGTACTTCAATGGGCGCAGTCCTTCATCAATAAGTCAATGGTGTTTAGACTCCATAATGTTTCTGTTGTAATTCTTTATCTATATATTAATAGAAAAGCATGTTTCTTTAAAACCTTTTTCATCTTAGGAAAAATCTACGCATACTGTTAGAAAGATATTTTCCAGTAGAAGTGCAGAATCCCTTTAAAAATTAAAATTGGCTCAAATATAAGCACAAAAAATGGATTTAAAATTAAAAAAAAATAACATGGGCTTTATGGGTTGCCAGGCTGGTGACGAAATAACAACGAAATATAAACAGAAAATCAAAACGAATGGAAGAAATTACAATCACATGTTTTATTTACAGCGTGGGGTGCAAATAGAGATTAGAGAAGCCTGTACATTTACATTCCATCCTCATGTCAAAGTTGTAATCAGTTTTTTTATTAAGTTCGTCGTAGTTGATGTGAACTACCAACAGATTGCGCTGATCTAAATGTCTAATTTATGTCAAATACACAATGTTTTTACCAAAAGTAAAATTTATGGAATGACTTATTATGAGCTATAGTAACTGACCCATCAACTTTGTCAGCAACAAAAAATAAGGTAGAAAATAGAATTTAAGACACGCATTCGGTGACTGGCTCACAAAACTACATGGTTTTTTAATAAAAAAAAATTGTAACAGCTGGTCCATATAGATGTGATGACTACTTCCATATCCAATAGTCAATACGTGTACATTACATGTTTTTGGTCGAGTTTTCGACCACTAGTAAATAATAAAAGCTAAATGAGATAAAAAGTGTATTATTACATTAACACAAAGAATGGAAACTAACATAAACAATAACAATTCAAAGAATAAAGATCATGATCAACTGGTAATTAAAATGCAGTCTTTTAGAAATTATAACAATCTTTCCCACATAAGTTTAAACTCACACATAAGCCTCGAGGTAATTTGGCGGTTGCCGAACACGTTTTGATCTGAGGTGGTGATTCATCTTCAATTCTGACTTCATCGGGAATCTGGATGTCACATTCAGGATGCTGAGCCTCCAATACTGGTTTTTGGCAGTCGTGGAACGTCGAGGTGATTGATCTTCATTTCTGACTTCATCAGGATGTCACATTCAGGATGCTGAGCCTTCACTACTGGTATTTGGCCAGTCGTGAAACGTCGTTGCAGCGTATGACCCGGCTATTGTAGAACCACTGATTATAGAACATTGTATGAATGATGGTATCCCTGGAATATTGAACCCAACAGTACGTCCTTTAATATCATCTGACTGTTGATTAGTGGAGCGCCTTTGATTATCTTCTCTCCGTTGATTTGTCGTTTTAGGCGGTACTCTCGTTCTTATGAGTTGATTGATAAGCGTTCAGAGTCAAGCTTTACCATGTAATGTAGAGAGCCCAGTTTGGAACCATCCAATAGGTTCCAAATACCCAGATCTCAACATTTCCAGAGTAAAGGCGAACTTGGGCTCTATCTCCTACTCTCATCGATCTTACATGGTTTGTAAGCCTAACTTCTTTTCTTAATTTTCCTTCTTTGGAATAGGAAATATGGAATCCAGCTCTATTCTAAATCTTCTGTGCAAATAAAGTTCTGCTGGGCTTTTCACACAGGCATGTGGTGTGGCTCTGTAGCGTAGAAGCATTTTCCTGACCTTTTCTGAAAAAGTGCTCTTTTCACTTGCCATTGATTTTCAATGTTTCTTTTGGCCAATCCATTTGTAGCTGGATGACCTGGGGCAATGCATTTTCGGGTAATGCCATGATCAATGCTTTGATTACATCACTTGTGAAAATTGATGCATTATCGGTGACCAATGAATTCGGGTAGCCATGGAATGAAAATGAAAATACTTCTTGAAGTGTGTGTATTGTCGTTTCAGTTGTAGGAGAATGAGTCATTACTCGGACCTCTCCCAATTTTGACTTGGCATCAATGGCAACTAGAAAATTATGACCCTCGAAAGGACCTGCATAGACTATATGTAGACATTCCCAATTAGAGTGAGGCTGGTCCCACGGGTGTACTAGCATCTTCGGGGGGTTGTTATAGAGCTTAGCACAGATTTCAGAAGATCTAATTAGGTCTTCTATGTCATGGTCCATCCCTTCCCAGTACACATACCGCCTTTCAAGTTGTTTCATTTTCGTTATACCGATATGTGATGTGTCGTATGAAGTTCTCTCGAAATTGAACTTTTAAGGCTCTGTGTAGATTTTTTGTATATAATGTCGTTCTATTCACTGTCGAGCTAGACAAAAAAATTTGTAAAATTCAATCACCTCTAACAAAACCACCCATGGCCCGTTCTCAATGTTGTTAACCAGCATTGCAGAACAGCCAGTACTTGAAATTACACAATTTTAAAACTAAAAAGCCTATTGAAAATTCATTTACATGAACTAGGCTTACATATTTAAATGTGGTAAAGTATCAAACAAAGTAGCCTACTCACATTGGAAAATATATCCGTGTTATGTTGAGTGTGAGAGTTGGAGGCGAAGGCGAGAGCACTACTGCACCGGGGCGTAGATGGACTTGAGGATACTCTTTGTGGCGGCACAGGTGATCTACAATAGTAGAAATAATATATATAGGCTAAAACATGGAAGTGACAATGCTGAGAGATCAACATGGTATGTTAAGGCAGGTCAACTACTATGACTAATCCATAACTAGGCCTATAATTTTATTTTTAGACAAATTTTAACCACTGACAAATAGACCTATAGGAAAGTTCACAGTACCGGTAAATAATAAAAAAAATGGTAAAAAAATTAACATAACCAAAATGTGTCTAAATTACTCATTGCATTGTATGTATGTATAATGAAGAAAGCGGGATGATAATATTAATGATCAATCTTTATGCTGAAATCAGCAAAACACAGTTTATTGTTTTAGATGTTGAGTTTAGATTAGGCAATGCTAATGCACCACAATATTAGCCTGCATACATTAATCTAAGTTATTATTATTTTGTCTTCAACCTGGAAAATTGGTTGCTGTTTTAGTTAATACTACGGTAGCGAACCTGGTGCATGTCAATCTAGACATAGGAGAAGAAGGATTTGTATTGATTTTTTTTATTTGGCGTTTTCTGGTTTCTTGGTTTGTTGTTAAACGTGAGATGGTAAAAGGCCCAATTGAGTTCGAAGTTTATGTGACGTTTTAGCAGTTATTTTTGTGAAAGTCAGTAAAAGATTCTCTTTTGATTCCTCTGGCTTAAGTCTGTGACTTATTCGGGACCGCGCCGAACTTGGACAACGACACACGCGGACACACGGAGTCCACCCCTGGACAGCTTAAAAACTTGTCCAGGTTCGTCGTTTGCATGCAACGTTAAACTTGGACACATTTGAATGTGTCCAGTTTCGTCGTGTTGTGCAGCGCCACCCCTGGACAACTTAAAAACCTGTCCAGGTTCGTCGTTTGCATGCAACGTTAAACTTGGACACATTTGAATGTGTCCATATTCGTCGTGTCGTGCAACGCCACCCCTGGACAAATAATAAATGTGTCCAGGCTCGTCGTTTGCGTGCAACGTTAAGCTTGGACACATTTGAATGTGTCCAGTCTCGTCGTGTCGTGCAACGACGAATATGGACATTTGTCTTAAGTCTCTTGTTTTGGGACCTGACTGTACATTCTACCTGTCAAAGTCCATTGTTTGGGATTTCGACCAAGGCCCCACTAGAAAAACACGCCATGCTGAAGGTTCATGACGTCACACTAGTGGATAGATTCACTGCAATATCCCATATGTTTTAGGCAGGGCCGGATTTCCCAATAGGCCCGGTAGGCCCGGGCCTATGGGCGCAAGCTCCCAGAGGGCGCACGGCCGAGAGGAAAAATATTTTTTTAATATCCATAAAAATAGCCATAGCTTCCCAGGTAACACGTAAGCTTACGGCAAGCCTTGTCAAAGGCTTGTCTGGAAAGGCCTTTTTATATCAACTTGTGCCAGACTTGTGGCACGCTTGTGAAGAAGGCTTACGGGGAACAGCTTGGGGCCAATTCGTGGAAGGTGTATCACGACAAGCAACGTAGTTGTAATTTTCAACCACCGCAGCGCTAGCGGCGCTAGTCAGTCTACTACACAACAACAAAACAACCGCCATTTTATTTGTGTTTGTTTGGCCGTCTGGCGTCTGCGCTTGTTCTTTCTTGTTTTCGGTTAAGTGTTTTAGTGTTTATTTTTCCTTAAGTTTTGAGTTTATATTTCGCGTTAAGTTTAAATTTTTAAGTTTATAAAGTTTGTATACAGCCCTATGTAAATTTATAAGTGCTTTTGGTTAATTAGTAGTTTTCCTCGGTGATAACTTTGAAACCTACTGCGATTTTCAGGTGAGTAGAATAACCTAGATTTAGCAGTAAGTTAATCAGTAATTTTAAATAAGTTAAAGCAGCCAACTTAACTTAAGTTTATAAGTTATTAATATAATGATTTAAGCATCAACCGTTTGATTTAGAGCCTGGGCCTAGTCTAGACATAACTCACAAAAGTCTTACCGGTACCTAGCTAAAAGGCCTGCCCTAGGCTATTTGATTTATGATTTATGTACATCAGATGTACATTTATCACATCTTATACCTTCTTAACTTTTTTAAAATCTGTTTTCACTTGATCACTTGAAAAATTGGCAGTCAATTTAGTGTTTGTTAAAAACTTTTCCAGGAAATGTTTTAATAATGATTCATTATTGGTAGCCCAATAAACCTGAGGGCTGATATAAATTTTAGGCCTACTTTATTTTTTTTTTTAACTGCAGCACATTTTATTCTGTCACAAAGTGTCAAAACACCTAGTAATTTGCTATTGGGAATGTTCATGTTCATTTGTTATGTTAGCGTCCCATAATAACTTAAGCTACTTAGCTAACCTAACTCATGTGTTAATTAGCACCTCGACTGTAGGCTGCTAGCCTTGATAGACTCTACTAAGTCAATCAAAAGGACTAGGCTAAACATAGGCCTACCCTCCCTGGGTACTTACAGTTTCACATAGAGCCGTCTGCAATAAGTTTTTGGATGAGTAAGGATAAAAGTTAACTTAGGCCTAAGTTACTTATTATCAAAATGATGATGTGCGTATTCTTTTCTCGCACAATAGACTTTGCCCTCGTGGCAAGCTTAGCACTTTTCGGACGAAATAAGTAAATACAGTGGAACCTTGATAACAAGTAACAAGACCCACGATAACAAGTCACCCTTGATAACAAGTCTCATTTTTAAATCCCCTAGAATTTATTTTACCCCTAATCACATGTTATTGCAAACCTCGATAATAAGACAACCTTGATAACAAGTCTTATTTTATAATCCCCTTGAGAGCCTTTTTATCAAGGTTCTCCTGTAATTCTTACTTAGCCTATAATTTTTTTCGGAACATTCCAAAAAATGTTCTAGCATCGAAACGGTTAAACGTCACTTTGCTTTAGATCAAGTTATGTAGGCCTAAAGATTATTGTCTCCCGCGGTCACATAAAAATCCTGAATACCCCCTACAGTAACGGAACATCATTATCGCCTTTCTCCATTTGTGGAAAATCTTGACATTAGGTAGGGCTACATATATTATAAAAATAGGCTATGTGCCGGAGCGAGCTTTTGTATATAGTTTGCTTGTTTGTAGATATATTATGTTGATCAAATTTAGCAACTTTATTTAGTCTATTTCACCTTAATATTAACATTTGCTCAAAAAAACATATTTTTGCATTCCCCATGGTAGAAAACCTAAGTACTAGCATAGACAAAAAGAATTAAATATAAAAAGACCGTCAGCTGTGCTGCAGTTACCATAGGTTCTGGCGCACACCGCTGGGAGCGCTATGCAGTTACGGCCTACGCACTACGTAACTACATGGCGCTCCCATCATTGTGTGCCAGAACCTATGGTAACCACTGCACGGCTGACAGTCTATATTTAATTCTTTTTGTCTATGTTACTAGTTAGATCTAACTTTATTCAAAATATGCTTTATGGAAATCTTTAAGCATAAATCCAGTTTAAGACGAATTGATAGTCTGCAGGTTTGCTGCTTCAGGTGTATTTTTGCTCTGGTACTTTACTCATTTTGTATGTTTAGTGCACCTTTTTCTGATTTATAGATGCTGTCAGGAGAAAACATTGAGAAACATCGGCTGAGAATATGAAGAACTCAATCAAGAAGTGGCTGCAGCAAGCCACACCCAGATTGATGAAGAGGTATTTTTTCCTATTTCAATTTACGGTACCGTACTTATTTCTTTGTGATAAGAAATTATTATGAGTAAAGGGCGTTTATAAAAAAACTCCTCATTTACTAGCACCCGTCACCATAGCAACATTTTCCGTAAGGCATTGCAGCTCTAGATTTTTTCAAATTTTATGTGCCACAGTGTTGCCAACTAATGCTGACCAAAAATTTACAATTGGTTGGTACAATGAGTTGAACTGTTATTAAGGAATTAACTTCATATTTCCAATCTGTTCAGATATGTATTTGAAAACCCCAAGAGTTCTATTGACACCCTGTATTTAGGTTGCCATTGGAAACTGTACAAAGTTCTTCTGTTAGTTTGGATATTGTACTTAGTAAAAATGCCATTTAGATTATTCTAACTCTATTAAAAACATTAGCCATACCTATAAAACATTAATAGAACCAGCTAAATTCAGGGTTTATTTAACCTTTTTACCTCACATTTGCCTGTCCACATGGGCCTCAGGTTTGTGCATGGAAAGTTTATTTCAGCACTAGTCTAGTCAATTAGATTTGAATTTCAGTTATATATTGAGTTAAGACCCCACTGAGTGTGAAAAAAACCACATGTAGCCTATATGTAGAGTGGTATTGTATGCAACAATTGTTTTTTACCTTTAATGTCTCATTTCTTGCGAAATCGGCATCGTAGACTATCTTGAACGCGCGGCAAAGTCAGTTTACCGAGTAAGATAGAGTAGTGCGGCCGCGCAAAGCTCATTTCGGTGGCAAAATTCCAAGCTGACTATTCTCCATGACTGAGCATTTCGCTTCTTAGGCCCGGTTCACACGAGCAACTTATCTAGCTAACTAGGCTGTAACTAGGTAAGCCCGAATGGGTAGCGGACCAAAGGATACACCGGTTCACACGAGCGACATGTCAACGGACTAGGTCGTAGGTGTGACGTAAATGAATGTGCATCGATAAACGATGTTTTTAATACATCGATGTTTTCAATACATCAATATTTTCGATACGTTGACATATTTCTGGAAATATTTGATGTTTTTGCGTCAATGGTAAGTGAATTTTTTTTTTACATTGATGTTTTGGACAATAACGATGTTTTAAACAATTATCGAATCATTTCTAAACTAAATTTGCATTGGAATCACCCAACAAACTATCATTTAAACTATTATAAAGTTTGGTTGAAAAAACATCATTGTTTAGAGTGTATAGGGTCAATATAAAATTATATTATAAACCTATTAATCGGTTACAAATTTATATTTAGTTTATTCCTATATTTGGACTTGTAATACTAATAATAGGCCTATAAAGATAATTGTTCCAAAGAAACGGTTGTTGCTTCATTGAT